TGAGCAAAATAAAACCAGCTATAAAGGGGCTTTGTGGATTTTTTGTTAACTTCTTTTCACAAACTCATTTCTTAGAAATGTATTAACTATACTGCTAGGAAAAATTACTAAATGAGAATAAACAATGAATGTATATGATAACACTCTGAACAGAAAGACAAATTCTCTGTCTTTAGACTTCATCAATTCTATTGCATATTTTTAGTCCAAAATCAGTTGGTTTTGTGTTTTTGTTGTTGTTTTACTTTTTTTAGCTTTTTGCATCACACCTGGCAATGCTCAGGGGTTCCTCCTGGCTCTGCACTCAGGAATCACTCCTGGCAGTGCTGGGGGACCATATGGGATGCCAGGTATTGAACCTGGGTCGGCCACATGCAAAGCAAATGCCCTATCCACTGTACTATCACTCTGGTCTCCAAAATCAATTTTTATTCAACAGAATTGAGTCCTGAGCTCATCTGAAAATCAGCTGACCACCCAAGACTACAAATTACTGTGTAATTTATTCATCTGCACTTGAAAGTCATGGGCTAATCCCCAGTGTGAATATTAGTGTTCTTCGTTTTCCTTTTACTTAATGGCCACATTTACTCATCTTACTATAATTTGGTATCAATGCCTTCTATAAAATAGCTGATCTCAGAAATGTGCCCTCGGTGATTAATTTGTATGATCACTTTTAAATCGTCAAAGATACTTTATATGGGGCGTTGCTCAATAGACTCATGAGACTTTGGGGAAGTCTTTTCATTGACAGGGTTTAGGGATCCCCACCCAAACTAGATCCTACCCCTGCTACTTCTGAGCAAACAGGTCACATCTGAAAATCAGAGAGAAACCAAACAGGCCTCGGGTAGGACACTCATGAGAGTCCGTGGACTGCCTGACCTTTGGTCACCCGTGCTTCACCAGGTGTGAGATGTAACACCACCAGATACGGACAGTTCCACGTGACACCTTATTGCGCTGAGAACAGAGATACTGCAAATAGTCAGCGCAGGTCAGAACGCCAACTAATCACGGGATTCAGACTCCTGATTCCTGAGCTGGTGGCTGTTGCAAATGCTGGCTCCTTTAAAGATGCAGTGACATCTGTCATCAGTAGACTCCTTAAGGCACCACACCTTTGCCTGATGCAGACACCACCAGTGTAGCTCTGAGGGAACATCTGGTTTTCAGAATGCAATTCATTCGGGATGGTGGAAGTTTCCATCTGAGCCATCACCGGTGAGCTGAGAGATATCCCTGAAACTATAGCTGCTCTGTAAAGGGATTCAGCTGATGCACTTTTAACCTTCCTTCTTGAGAGAGGAGATACACCCAGCACAGTGCTCAGGGGACCAAATGGTGCCGGGGGAGGTGAACCCAGGACTTTTGCGCTTAAGGCATATGCTCTTGCATTATCTTGCAGCACCCCCAGTTTGAACCCTTTTTATTTATTTATTTATTTATTTATTTTGGGGTCAATACCCAGCAATGCTCCTGGCTCTGCACTCAGGAATCACACCTGGCGGTGCTCAGGGGACCAGATGGTTGCCAGGAATCGAACCCCTTGCTGTATGCAAGGCAGACACCCTCCCTGCTGTCCTATCGCTCTGGCCCTTTGAGTCTTTTTTCAAATATGTGTACTAAATGGTAGATCATACCACCCACCAGTTACCTACTGTGATTATCTTCAGTAAGTGATAGAAATAAGGGGGCTTCCCAGGGGCGAGTGGGGGATTAGTCACCCCAGGACTTTGAACAAGAAGTGACCCTCTTTTTTGTGCGGGGAGTGGGGGGGACACTGGCCTGAGGCAGACTTGGCCACTGCCTTATTGTCCACCTGCTCAAAATGTGGTGTGTGAGAGGGGGCAGAGGGTGGCCCGCTGCTACCCCGACTGGCACTGCCCTGTGCCCGGGTGTGAAGAGAGCGCAGCCGGGGTACAGTGCTGCTGGGGGCTGCAGTGGGGCCAGAAACACCAGAAGCTTCTAAACCAGAGTCACAGCTCAGAAACCAAAACACTCTCAGGGCACTCTGTCCTCCACAGAGACCTCCAGAAGTTCACATCCATGCAGGCAGTGGTGCCGGAAGCAGTGTCTCCAGTCCAACATCTTGCCCTGCTGGCGCCAGGGGCTGCTGTTCTGTGCCCTCCTGAGCCCTGTACCCCCTCCATTCGGGGCACCTAACGCCAGGACTGCTCGGCCCTGCCCGATGGCGGTGCCCCTCCCACAGCTGCTGGCCTCCTCTCCCCCGCAGAGGCCCCAAGTGGCCCCATGAGGAGCTGGCCCACCCCCCACACCAACCTCCCCTCCGTGGGAGGGAAGATCCCATCCTGGGCGGGGAGCCCTCCTCTCACATTTTGTTGATTCTGAAATGCCATTCGCTGGGCTCTAATGGGCTGCTCCACTCTGCATTCCAGGAGGGAGAAATACACACTCCGACCCTTGGTGATGGGAACGTTTCTCAGACCCGTTTCTCAGGTGGTCGAGGTTTCACCCATGCTCCACAGCACCAGCTTCCTGAGGGTCTAACCAAGATCAGGGGGTGCCATACCCCATCCCCTCATGAAAATTTAAAGCCTTCCCATATCCCCTGTGACCCCTAACAGCTGAGAGGAGCTACTTCTGTATAAAAGAAACTGCAACTTTTGTTGTTTTAGATTCTCGGGCCAAAGAGTAGTTCAGTGGTACTTACAGGGCCTGCCATACTATGCCCCAGCCCAATTCCCAGCGTCGTGATAAGATCATAACAGTAAAATAGGGGCTGGAGACATAGTCCAGAGGGAGGGCACTTGCCTTGCACACGGCTGATGGCGGTTCAGTCCCCTGCAACCCATATGCTCCCCAGAGCACCACCAGGAGTGACCCCCTGAGCACCGCCACATGTGACCCCAAACTAAAAACAAAACAAAAGGCTGTAAGAGCTCTTAGCCGGCTTCAGAGATAGATTCGATTAAAATTAAAGTTCAAAACGCTGCCATGAAATGTGCAAAGTCAAAGTCTGGCCATGAATGAAACTTCATCTGAGATTATGATGGCAAAACTCTCCCCATCCTAATATTCCTACATGGAATCCTTCAAGAAATATGCATCAAACATGCTTGGCGTGTGTTTCTATTTAGGAGATGGGGTTCAGTACCCCGGCTCCCATGAGCCTCCACTGCCTACATCCTGCAGTGGAGAATTCCACCAGGGCCAGGGGGGACAGAGGGAGAGTGTGAGGGCCTCTCAGTGAAGCCTGAGTCTTATCCTGTCCTCTTGACTTCAGCCCTTGCTGAGAGAAACAATCATTCCAATTCTCCCAGAACAGTGCTCATCCCACGTCCAGAGGTTTCTAGTCTGATGTAAAATAATATGAATTCAGACCAGGCCTGCAAAGCAGTCTGACAGAGTGTGAGCTCTGGGAGCCCTCTGACTTCAGGGAGCTTTTCTCCTGACTCTGATGAGATTACCAATTTCATTTAATTGTCCTAAAGATAGTGGCTGACAGCCATCACGTCATACTCAAGAGTTCAGGACTCTGTAGTATAGATGATGACTAGTGAATTTGAACTGTAATTTATGATGCAAACATACGGAGTGCCCACGGGTGCCCGCGACCCTGGTGGCATGGCCCTGACTTGCAGTCACGGGAAAGGCTGCCGTCTGTGAGACTTTCAAGACATTCTAATAACGCCAGTCCCAGAAGTACGGTAAGCCAAGAGTGGTGATGCCACGTGCCCATCTGCACCCTTTAGAAGGAAGAATTGGGAAGGGTTTTGAAAAGGACCCCCTGTTGTTGGGGTCGGATGATGCCAAGGCCCTTTGAGGCAGCCATGGTGCATGACAGAGGAAGCGTCAGTGCCGGGTGGGATTTTTTTTTTTCTGATAAAGCTTTATTTATAAAGAGCAGGCAGCAGGCCAGATTCAGTCCATGGACTGCATTTGCCCACCCTTGACAATATTCGGGAGACCTACGGGAGAGAGAACAAACCAACCAACAAACAACCGAGGGCTGGACCCCTTTAGCGTCTGGAGTTATCCCTAGAGCCGTACATGGGGGCAGCACAGGGCACTGAGGGTGGGAACTGGTTGCCAAGTGATGAGGGGGAGGAAACCCAATCTGCGGCCCACACAGGATGAAGCTTATGCATGAGAAACAACAACTTGGGGCCGGAGCGATGGTACAGTGGGGAGGGTGTTTGCCTTGCACATGGCTGACCCAGGTTTGATCCCCAGCATCCCATATGCCCCCCCGAGCACTTAAACCCTACTAGGCTATCTGCTCTTCATTTTCACCTATTACCTTATGTAGGTTTTCACTGGGGAACACATATGATTGAGAATAACTGGCCGAGCCAAAAAGAGCAAAAAGAGCAAGGAAGCCTTGCGGGCCTCTTACCATGTCCCTCAGCTAATGGACAAAGGGTTCTGTCAGCTGCAGTACCCTGAGCACGCTATTGTAAATCCTTTGAGGGGCTCTTGGTCCAGAGTTTCTTCATTAAAAAAAAAAAAAAGAGGGAGGCTAAAGCGATAATACAGCGGGGAGGATGTTTGCCTCGCATGCGGCCGCCCCGGGTTCGATCCCCACCATCCCATAGGGTCCCCAGAGCACCGCCAGGAGTAATTCCTGAGTGCAGATCCAGCAGTAATCCCTGAGCGTCACTGGGTGTGCCCCCCCAATAAAATAAATGAGAATAGTTTAATCTGAATTCCCAAGTCCCAATAACTCTAGAACTCCGTGATTCTGTGGCTGTCCAGCCTTCTCGTGACTGTTTCTGCAGATAAGGATGCTCTCTCAGCGCATGCCTATCCGTTTCTTTTGACGAGACCGAGCACTGGAATGAGAGCCTCTTTTTCGTATGACCCATAACCAGCTGTCGGTTTTATGAATAGAAGATACGGGCACGCAAAGCTGTGTCCAGCAGCAGCGGGCGGCCATGTCAGTGGCCAGTGATGTGTTTTCTGCTGTTGCATGTATGCCCTAGGTTGAATACTTCAAATCTTGCTTTAATGAAATATTTATGTTCTTTTGGTAGCCAGAAGTGCAACTTGCTGAAGGCTTCGATGTGTCTATGCCAAAATCTCAGCTGGACTCTATATTGTCAAACTACACTCGCTCAGGAAGCCTTCTGTTTAGAAAACTGGTGTGTGCGTTTTTTGATGACAAGACTTTGGCTAACTCCTTACCCAATGGGAAGAGGAAAAGAGGACTCAATGACAACCGGAAAGGCCTAGACCAGAATATTGTGGGTGCAATAAAAGGTTGGTCTGCATCGTTTCCTTCTAATGGGTTCTTGGTTGAGTTTTGCCTTCATTCTCCTCAAATGCAGCTAGAATTGGGGTACTCTCACAGGAGGCTAAGTTAATCGGTCACTGGCAGTCCTTCCCCTGGTGTGGCTTTTGGGGTGTGAGTCCTGTGATTCAGCACCCCAAAGACCAGGAAGATTTGGTATTCCAAGGTAATGGTAATTTTGTTTAAACTGATTTTGAAGAGCCAATGTGATTTGCTGCAGAACCAAAAAAGTGATGTTGATACTAATGTTTCCCTTAAATGACTTAAAACAAAGGTCTTTCTGGGGCCAAAGCAATAATATAGAGGGTAGGGGTCTTGCCTTGCATGTGGCAAACCCAAATTTGATTGCTAACATCCGATATGGCCCCCTGAGCACTGCCAGTAGTGATTCCTAAGCACAGAGTCAGGAATCAAAGTCACCTCTCCAGGTGTGGCCCAAAAACCGAAAGAAAATTTAAAAATAAAACAAAGATGTTTTTCTCCTCAGTTCTATAAGAACTTAATCAAAATGTGAGTCCCACTGAAATTTTTAGTTGTGAATAAAATAATGATTTTAAAAATGATGACAGGGGGCTGGAGCGATAGCACAGTGGGTAGGGCATTTGCCTTGCACACAGCCAACATGGCCAACACGGGTTCGATTCCCAGCATCCCATATGGTCCCCCGAGCACCGCCAGGAGTAATTCCTGAGTGCAGGAGCAGGAGTAACCCCTGAGCATCGCCGGGTGTGACCCAAAAAGCAAAAAAATAAATAAAAATGATAACAGTAAAGTAAAACAGGGCCAGAGAGATAGCTCAATGGTTTGGAATGCGTGAAAGAGGTCTGAGGTTTTCTTACCGCCAAGAGTGACGTTCCCTCCCCCCACCACCACCACCCTACCATTAATTTAATTAAATTTTAAAATAAAGCAAAACATTTTCTGAAGTTCAGAAATGGCTCTACCAGGCCAGTGTTCCTAAAGATATTTGGAACCTAAGTAAAGCCAAACCCTTTGCATCTGCACTTCCAGCCACATCTGTCACCTCTGGTCTTGTGACCTGGAGTCACAATTCCAGGCAACATGCCCGGGGTCCCCTGGGCAGTGCTGGGAGCACGGCGGGTCCAGCGCGAGCAGGTCTTCATTTATTTGCTGTGCCACTTCCTAGAATTATGTCCTCATCTTAAAATGTTGTTCTTGGTGCTCTAGTAATCCTGATTTCCAGTAATAATAGTAGTTAAAGGTTATTTTCAAAACTGAAAAGAAATGGATTCTAAGTACTAAAGCACAGCCACCCAGAAAGTGTAGGTTTGAATCAGGCCTTCCGAGCTCACGGATCTCAATTTAGTGTGAGATGGCTTGGTGGCCTCTCCCCCACTCAGTCCCTGTGAGCTGGCAGAGTGAATGATGGGTGTAATCCTGCTGAAAGGACACTTGCAAACCCACAGTCAGCGTTATAGGATAACCCACATTTCCAGTGAAATTATTGAGTGCCAGGCACCCTCTCTTCAGGGGCAGGAACCTTTATGAATAGGACATTTCTCCTTCTCCCACTCAACTTTTTCACCTAAAGCAGCAGCTGACTGGTGCTAAGTAAGAAAAGGAACAAAGATATCACAGATGGTGCTGTTTCTGAAAAAGGTGATTCAGCCCCAAGCGACATTGCAAACAAGATCACGGGCCCCGAAATGGCACTCACGGGCCATGGACAGGCTGAAGTGAAGAGAGTTCCATCCAGAATCCACGTGGCAAGGGAAGCCCATTGACACAGCATCCTGCTAACACGGGGCCCACTAACACGTGTCCCTGCTAACACACACCCCCGCTAACACGGGGCCTGCTTACTCGGGGTCACGCTAACACAGCTCCCGCTAACACGTTTCCCCACTAATATGTTTCTCCGCTAACATGTTTCCTTGCTAACAAGAGTCCTGCTAACACTTTTCACCACTAACACGGGTCCTGCTAACATGTTTCCCCGCTAACACGGGTCCTACTAATGTGTTTCCCCAGTGACATGGGTCCTGCTAACGTGTTTCCCCAGTAACACGGGCTCCCGCTAACACAGGCTTCCGCTAACAAAGGCTCCCACTGAGTGCTTGCACGCCAAAGTTTCTAAATATACTAAACAGTCACCAGCAACTGCCCAGGTCTTCTTGCTGTTTGCTTGCTTTTTTTTTTTCTCTCAGGGTGATTTATTAAGACTGTGAGAGCATTTGGGGACCAGAGTGACCGTCCAGTGGGGAAAGCACTTGCCTTGCATGAAGCGGACCTGGGTTCAATCCCCAGGATCTCGTATGGTCGCCCGAGCCAGGAGTAAACCCTGAGCACTGCTGGGCGTGCCCCATCCACCCAAGAACATCAGGGAACCCCAAATGAGTACGTTCCATCTCAATGACAGAAGTCACCGGATAATAGACAGTAATGAAATCTGATTTACAAGTAGGGTGGGTTTATTCCGCTGTGTTCAATCTAGATTGGCCATTCTACAATTGTTTGAAAAACTGTTACAAACAGAAGTAGAAAATAAGCCTGAATTTTCTGTCTAACCTTCTCTGTAGCTAGAGTAAAAATGGCTCTGAGGAGCCAGAGAGGGGGACAGCACTCCCCTGGCCAGCTGGAGCATGTGGCTTAGATGCAGGAAGCCCCAGTTCATCCCAGCATCACATTGTCCCCTGAGCACTGCCAAGGACCATCCTCTGAGCACAGAGCCAGGAGTAGCCTGAGTACCATTAGGTGTGGCCTAAAACAGGAAAAAGGGGAGCGGGGCAATAAGACTTTTGCTCCTACTAAATTAATAAAGCAGATTAATCACAGAGCTCACCTTTTCCATATGCTTTTCTGAAGGTTCTATTAGAACAACAAAATGACTTTAAAGCAGACATAAATCCAAGGGGGCTAAAGAGATAGTACAGAGGATAGGACACCTGCCTTGTACACAGCTGACCTGGGCTGAGTCCCCAGCACACCACAGGACCCTGAGCATCACCAGGAGTGATCCCTGAGCACTGAGCCAGGAGTAAACCCTGAGCACTGCCAGATGTAGCAAAAAAAAAAAAAAACCCACAGAAGTCTACCCAAAATGGTCCAAGTTAAATTCTATTATTTATTGGCCACCAACAGTCCCAGTTAAATACTATTATTCACTTATATCCTTTCATTGTTTACACATTGACATAGATATTAATTTTTCTCTGATTACAAAAATAACACATGTTTGTAAAACAGATCCAAGTCATTAAAGGAGAAAGAGAAAGAACATGCTGAAGCTAAAATACCTCTGTAACCCCTCAGAAGTTCCTGTGTCTATTCCTCCTGTGTCCCAGGAGGGACAGAACATGGATCTCCCACATGCAAAGCAAAGCATTGGCTCAGCCTGTTGAACTCTCTGACCCATTTGGGGTTTGTATTTTGGCTGTTTTGGGGCCACACCCAGCGGTGATCAGGGACCATTCCTGGCTCTGTGCTTGGCATCACTCCTGGTGGGCTCAGGGAACCTTATGGGTAACAGGGATTGAACCTGAGTCAGCTGCATGCAAGGAAAATTTTCTACCCTCCTGTACTATCACTTCACCCCTCTGGCCCTTATTTTATATTTCACAAACTAGAAGTTTATTAGTCCAGATAATATAAAATGATTTTCAGAAGTTATTAATTGAAGGTTTTATCAAATTACAATGCCCAGTTTTTCTTGCTATTGAGAAGTATAATAAGAAATTTCTCTAGTTCAACTTTGATACATCTGAGTAATCTGGAAAAAATAACAAAATGGTTCTTTTCTCTATCATAGTATTACTGTTGCTGTCATATACTTTGAAAAGATTTTGCAAATATTGAGTCATTTTTACTCTGTGCTTTATGGGATGCTGCCTCAATATTATATTAATTTGAAATGTTCTGTAACCTAAGAATATATGGATATCAGCCCATTTTTTTTAAATCTTGAAGTAAAAATAACAGCTGGTTGATCAGGACAGTCTTGGGAAAACAGATGAATGAAAATTAGTAAAGTGCTTAAAAATAGGAACAGAAATGGACGGAGGAAAAAGTGTGTGGAATTATTAACAAATCTATTCATAGTTAATATCCCCTCTGAGCATATCTTAAAAATAAAATGTAAACCTCCTTAAACAGAGAGATTATATTTTCCAAATATCCCAGTCTGGTCTGTGGGAGCTGGCACCTATCAGTAATTCATCGATAAGTGTGATCAAGGTGCGGAGGTGTTTATGAGAAACACCTAAATACTGAGTTTACGGCTGTGTTGGAGCCACTGAAGATTGTCCAGCGCAGTGGGGTCTCGGGTTGAACGCTGAGAACTGTTGGCATTGCAAATTTGTTTCAGGACTCAGTTATGGCTGGGCAATTCCCACTGTGCTCACCTCTCTTCGGGCTTTACCTGGCAAAACCATCAACTTCTTGGTGTGACCCACCTGCGGAACAGTTTACTTAAGTGGGAGCTAAGTATCGATATGGTCATCAGCTCTCTGCATTCTCTTTGGGGAGGAAAAAGGAAAAACAATGGCAGTCAAACCACTTGTAGAATTGGATTCATCTTCCGAGCCTTTCCTCAGTGAAGGAAGGCCGTTCCTAATCACACTGCCCCAATTCTGGAACTCTCTCGCCATCAGACCGTACCCGTCCAAGGGTCTGTTGACTGCTCTTGCTTCCTCCCAGCTTTACAGTTACTGCTTTCAGGGGAGAGGTCCATGCTGACAGCCAAGACAGCCCACCGGGATTAGGATCCCTGGGGTTCCTTCATCTTTTGTGTATTTTGGTTTTTGGGTTTGGGGCTACACCCAGCTGTTCTCAGGACGTCGTCCTGGCAGTGCCCAGGGGGACCATGTGTAATGCTGGGGATCGAACCCAGGTCTGCAGCGTGCAAGACAAGTGCCTGACTCTCTGTACTGCACCCTCCGCTCCTCGTTCTCTGATCTTAGCTCAGCTTGTGACGAGGTCAGAAGTGCCATTCTCTACTGAGAGACCCAAT